AAGGATAATGAAAAAGTGATAAATACACACACACACACACACTATACTATTACTTAGTCGTAAAAAAGAATGACATGTTGCCATTTGTGACAACCCAGATGAACCTAGAGGATATTATGCCAAGAGAAATAAATCAGAGAAAGACAAATACCATATGATTTCACCTAGATGTGGAATCTAAAAAGCAAAACAAACAAATGAACAGACTCTTAAATATAGACAACAAACTGATGGTTTCAGAGTGGAGGTGGGAGGGAAGATGAGCAAAATAGGTGAAAAGGGATTAAGAGGTGCAAACTTCCAGTTATCAAATAAACAGATCATGGAGATGCAAAGTACAGCATAGGGAATATAATCAACAATACTGTAATAACATTCTATGGTGACAAATGGTAACTCCACTTACCAGTGGTAAGCATCCCATAATGTATAGAATTGTCAAATCACTGTTGTACACCTGACACTAAGGTAACACTGTATGTCAAGTATAATAATTAGTTTTTTAAAAAGCCATATGAATTTTGGGGCACCTGGGTGGCTCAGATGGTTAAGCGTCTGCCTTCGGCTCAGGTCATGATCCCAGGGTCCTGGGATCGAGTCCCGCATCGGGCTCCCTGCTCCTTGGGAGCCTGCTTCTCCCTCTACTTCTCTCTCTCTCTCTCCCCCCCTCTGTCTCTCATGAATAAATAAATAAAATCTTAAAAAAAAAAAAAGCCATATGAATTTCTAAATTATTCTTGAGGATGTGAAGTTTAGAATTTTTAAAATTGATACAAGTGTATCCTATTTTTCTCTTATGAAAATGAACTTGACATAAAATGAGGAAAAGATAGGTTTGAGGACTGATTACACCTACTTCTGCGAAGAAACAAAGTGAAAAGTCCCTGTGGAGTCAGTTTAAGAAAGAAGTCTCGAAATTCTAATCTTCACTACCTAAGTAGAGAATGTCTTCAGCCAAAAGCCACACAAACACGCCCAGTTCATAAAGTACAAACAGTACTCCTATTGTATCATACGCTTAATACACATCCGGGCTTGCGTATATGTGTCTCTCTTTCTCACTCTAGCACAATGGCCATTAAGATACCAGCTTAGGCTGTTCTTCATTTTACTGACTTTATATACCATAGAACAATCTCAAAATTGGGAGAATCTTGCTTAATCTACCGGAGACCACAATTTCAACTCAACATCAAGTCTGTGGTTTCTCACCTGAGCTGGACTTCCGAGAATCTACGTTCTAGAGTTGAAAGGAAGACCTGACATTGAGAACATCTAATGATAAAAAAGAAGAAAAAGAAAATGTTAAGCCGCCAGGAGGGAGGGAGTCAGATATGGGGAGAAAGAGGACAGGCGATAACGAAACTGGCTGCCTGGGTGCCGAAGATGATAACAGCCGGAGAAATGTGGCCAGGCTGTCAGGAAGTACTGATCTCTCAGACAAAAATATCACTCAACAACCAGACTTCAGAATTAGAAGGGCCTGATACCTACTAAACAGAACACGTTCTCTGCCCATTGCTGAGGCTTAACCAGCTTTCCCACCTCTTTGGCTGCTGACATGTCAGGGGCACTAAGTCCTACTTCTATACAGCTTGGTCTTTGCTCCTCTCAGTTCTCATACAGAGAACTTCCTCTGGTTTCCTCCTGATCAGAGGTATATAGGAGCGGGTTTCCCTTTGGGAGAACTGACCTGGCCTCCCGACCTGACACATCAATCCCAGAATACAACTACAAGCTCTGTGAACGATTTCAGAGACCCTTTATATTGAAATAAGACAGTCTATTAAACCACCTTATACCCACTGATGGCTCAGAAAAAATGTTTTGCCCTCGTACTTGCTTGAGTAATTAAATGTGAAGAATGATTATTATTAGACTACATTCAACTCATTTATTCCAATGACACATATTGGCCTCTTGGATGTAGCCTGGCCTTAACAATTTGAGTACATATTTTCCTCAACATGTCTTTTCTTAAAGCAAAGAAAAATTATATGTACAGACAAACACTCACTACAAGATTCTCTGGCTGTATATATGCCTCCTTTTGCCCTTTGGAGTCTGTTAAAATCTTAATAATTAACGTGTAGTCTTCTCCTTTCATTACCTAGGAGTTTTAACAGACACTTGATCATTAGTGATAGATGGGACCAAAACAAACAAAAATAACCCATCCCAGATGACCTACTAGCAATAAGCACAAAGAAAAGACCCTAAGTTCCCAAATTTAAGTTTTTACTGGAAATTGTGATCCTTACATTAAAAAAAATGTAAGTTATTCTAGACTTACATTAAAAGTGGAAGAGGAATTAGACCATAAATATATTTTTATCATTCTCAGCCAAATGTTTTAATATTCCATTCTGATATTATTATAGTTTATAATACAAACAATGTTGCATTTTATCCATGATATTCCTGATACCTGAAGGGCTGTTCTTTGTGTCTCCATGGGCCAATAAATGTTAATTGTTCAATATGTTTGTTAAATTATCGAAAGAATAAATGTCATCTGACGAGTGAGACAACAAGGGTCAATGTTTTCCAAATTCCTATATTCTGCACATCCAAATGCTCCCTGCCTTCTTTTCCAAAATATTTTATTCAAACCAGAAACTCAGATGACAAAGATGACAACAATACTAGGGCAAAATGCTTCCCTTTTGCCTCAAACACTCAACTCTTGAAGATGTCACTCCCCTTCCTCTTTATTAGGGCACAAGTAGAGAGATTCCAAGAAGACACTGTACTCTCAACAAACCAACATCCAACTTTCAACCCTATAGAACTACTAAACTATCTCATTCCAAAGCTAAATAAGTGAACTTAAAGCATCCATACTTCACCCAAATCGGGCCAGCATACTGCTGCAGTAAGCGATGCTCTTTTTCATAAATTCAGAGTTTCTCATTTTGTGATTATGCTATGTGTATAAACAGCAGCTTTCAGGGAAGGGAAGAATCAGAAGACAGAAAAGTCTTCCAGTAGTGCCTTCCAGACAACAAGAAAACTTGAGACTTTTAAGCTCATAGAAAGGGTATATATCTGTCAGCAGACATTTGTATTTGTGTACATGGAGAGAAGGCAAGGAATAAAGAGGTCTCTGACTCCACAGCACCCACCCAAAAGATGCTACTTTATGGATACCATTCTCTAACCTCTAACCTTCACTTCCCTGAGTCAAAACTGAAATAAAGCTGCTTAGTAGTTGCTCCATAGAGTAATCCAAGGAACCACTGCTGAGATCCTAACCGTAAAGCTTGGATTCATACCAAGCTTCCACATTCACTAACAAGAAGTGCTGCCAGGCTGCCCAGAAATTCCCCTCCCGAGTCCCACAGCCACCCCGGAAACATGAGACACCAAGTATGCTGCAATCGTGGCCTTTTTGGTATTGGATCCAAAATAAACTGTGCCTAGCCTAAGACTGTAAATGAAGTATTTTCCGATGAAAAACTAAACAGCCAAAGAAGTTCTGAGGTTTCATTTACCCAACACAGCTGTCACTAGACATACCTAGTATTGAGATAGTTGCCAACCTTATTTAATGGTAAAAATAAACACCCAGTAGAAAGCCTCTAATCATATGGAATTATACTATACCTTCAGGTCAACATTACTGCCATGGATGGAAAGCAAGGCCCTAAGGGTTCTTTCACAATAGGCTCCAGATTCTGAGCAAAGATTAAATAAGTAGTAATGTCAGAAATCTTTAGTTTGGAAATCTTTAGGGGAAGGAAGGCACAGGTAAGTAATACAAACTCCTACATGCCAAGAACTGTTCTAAGCACCTTATGTGTATCGTTACTTTATACTCACCAACAACCCTGTAAGACTGATATTATCAATCCCCATTTTAAGTACCCAGAAACAAAAGAACCAAGAGGCTAAGCACCTTGCTCAAAGGGTTACACAGCCAAGAAGTGGTGCAAACTGGTAGGCCTTCGATTTCACAGGAGTCAAGGTAAACAGTGCCCCCGGTTTCACCAATATTCACTAAAATTAATGGCCAGCAAAAGTTTCTGGAAGCCTATCTGCCCTTGCCTCTCCTTCCACAGAATTTTCTTTTTGTTTCCACTTTAAAGATATGCCACGTTCCTTTAACTTCACAGCACTCCTCTGAAGGCAATAGACAATATGAAAATATGTTCATTTTACGCATAGGAAAACTTGAGCCCAGGTTTCTCAACTTCTCCCTCAAGGAAGCTCTTTGAAATCCTCGGATACATGAAGTGGGGTATTGGGGGGAATCAAAAGTGGAAACGAATCCAAAGACGGAATATCAAAATACAAGCGACATTTATGAAAGTAGGGATACAGGAAACCTAACAGTCGGAGAGCATCCACCCCACTTACGCACCCTGTGCTACAGTGCCCCCTATAATAGTACCTGGAGCCTGGCAGGCGCACAAACAAGCCCTAAAACCAATCTACACACGAGTACTCAGCGGCCTCCCCAGGCCCTGCACTGCAAAGCGCTCCACGGCTGTCGGCTGCACTAAGTGAACTTTATTGTTGGAGAGGTGCGGCGGGAGGCCCAGGGAGCAGGCGCGGGCCCAGAGCTCTGCAGATAAGGAGGAGGCTGCCGGGACCTTGCCCTGTGCCGGCCGCCGCCTCCGCGGCATGAAGCGAGTTAGCGCACCCTCGGTCACGGGATCCGGCGCGGCGGCAGGTCCAGCCGGGGGTTCGGCCATTTCTCCTAGGCCTCGGCGGGGAAGGGACGAAGCCCCCACAACCTCAGGCGTCCGCTTCCCGCCCCCCCCCCCACCCCCGGTCTCCGTCTTCCTTCGAAGAATGCGGCTCCGTCTGGCCCCCCGCGCCTTAGGCCCTCCCGGCCCGCACCATCCCTCGCTGTTCCGCACGACGCCCCGCGCGCCCCACACTGGCCCCGGCGCCTGCTCCCTCGCCCACCCTCCAGCCGCCCTGCGCCCTCCCGGCCCGCCTAGGGAAAGCGGCGCGGTCGCGCAACCCCTGACCTCGCCTGCCCGTCGCCTCACCGGCTCCGCAACCACCTGACAAGATACCCTCGCGCTGGCAGCTCCGTATCCCGGGAGCTAGCGCCAAGCGGGCCAACCCCCACACGCCCCGCGATTGGCCAACAGGACGGCAGTTGCACAGTCCTATTGGCTGGATTCCTCGTATTCCCTGTAGTAAGCGGGCGCGCGTGGCCAGCTGACGGCGTCCCGAGGCTCCGCCCGCCCCCGGGTCAGGCTGGAGGCGGGGCCACAGCGGCCTCGGCGGGAGGTGCCTCCAGTGGAGCCTTTGGCTTGCGCGGGTCCTGCTCGCTGAGTGCGGATTCGGAAGTTGACACGGCGCGGGCGCTCCCGGGACACTCAAATTTCCTACCGTAGTTAGCCGCTGCCTCACATTAGATACTGGCAGTCGAGCCCCTTTTTTTCTGTAGACATTGCTCTACGAGGTACGGCTCCACTATATAAAGTTTAGCCAACCTGGCAGGACCGTCTCCTCTCGTCCCCAGAGTCACACCGTAGTATCTGCAGCCTCACCAAAAGCAATCCACACCTGGGAGGAACGGCAGAACATCAGCTAGTGCGGCCAGTTCCACCACATCAGGTGCCCTACTCCCATCCTGTCTGTCTCGCTTCTTCCCCCAGGCTTTATCTCTATCTACCTAAAAGCAAACCCACTCCAGCCCCACCCTCAACCTCACGCTCCAGTCTTTCCCTGAAGATAATGGCCAGACTAGTAGCGCTTTAGAGGGAAGAAAAATGGTCTGACAAGCCACCCTCACTTTCTGCACTGTCCTTCAGAGCATCCAGAAACATTCTTAGACACCCCCCTACAGCTTACATTAAAGATAACCGAGCTTATTTGACCAAATTGTAGACCTAGAAAGGAAAAGCATCAACCCCTCCAACTTCTTTCTTCATGTAAAAACTGGTAGGAGAAAATTTTATTAGATAGTAAAAAGAGTCCAAGAGAGGATGATAGGAGAGTGAACTGCAAAAAGAAAAATCCAAATCAAGTACAAAGTAAAAAACTCAGGGACAAAAAAAGTGGGCCGAGCATCGTCAGTTATCTGATACAGGCTGGTTTCCATACAGAATTTCTCCTGGAGAGAAAAAAAACACACACACAATAATTAGTTCTGACAATCTCTCAACAAAACACCTGGGTAGTTTCAGCAAGACTTGATGAAGTCCCTCCAGACCAGAACCTTTCCTTTGGGAACCTCTGCTGCTACTAGAAAGTAAAATGGCTGGAGCCATTCTTGTCACCCTGCCAGGTCTGCTCAGCTGAGCAATCTCCTTGGGCTTTTGCTGGCTACTTACTGAGCTCACAGTGTGGAGCTTCCTCCATCTTAGGTTGCTTCTTCATCGGGCCGACTGGATTTGACTTTTCCCAGTGTCGGCTCCCGCCTCTATATATGCAGACAAGTGCGCCTCCCTTGATTAGATAAGGGCACTTTGGGCTGCCCTGAGCAACACCACATTGGTAAAGACACTGCGGGGAGTTTGAAGAGGCAAGCCACACCCTTCAAGGCCTGATCAAATTTCATCTTTGACCTGCCATGAAAAGGGAAGCATGATATATCGGCCACTCCTGGATATTAAAGAACAGTTAATTGAATTAGAAAACTTTTATTCTAAGATTTCATCTTTGATCTGTTTGGCAGGAGCTGGAGGCCAGCCTGTGAGTGCCAGTGGATGAAAGGGGTGGAGTAAAAGGAATTGCGTTCCTTCAGGATGCCACTCCCCTTAGTGTGAAGCCAGTCAGGGCACTTGTACCAGGCCAGCATGTGTGTTAGGACTCTGCTCCCCTAAGGTGTGAGCTGAAACCAATTCACCCCAAGCCCGACAGTCTACTAGTATTTTCCATAGGTGCGTGCAGCACTGATGCAACTATGAGGAGTCTCAGCGTGTGGGTAAAAATACCGCCTAGTCTATTCCTTGGGATCTGAGGGACCTGCTGGCATCAGCCTGGTTAATCAGTGATCCATAGGCCGACCACAAAGCCGTGCAAACCCAGGACTGGGGTGCCCGATAGAAAAGAAAAAGAAAAAAAAACAAAACCCTGAGACTGTAGAAAAACAAATCCAGAGCAAGTCCAGAATTTCTCAATCTGGGAGGAGGGGAACTGAAAGATTGCGGAAATGATGCCTCTGGCAAATAGTTTAGTAGGCCAGCTGGAGGCACAGGTGGAAAGGAGACAGAAGGGGGAGGTGAGGAGAATGAGGTGGGATACTGGGAGCAAGAAGTGGCTGCCTTCAGAAAGTTTCCTGATAGTTTTAAAGAAAATGTGCTTAATACCATAAGAAACATATGCAAATGTGTATGATAGAAATAATCTTCGAATGGAAAAGAAAGAAAAGACTAATAGATTTATATTAGTCAAAGGAGGCTTCTAGCAAGTGGCTCTGCTTCCTACTCAGAACAGTCATAGGGTCAGTAGAAGGATCTATGATCTCCTGCCCTGGACCCAGATGAAGATCTCTGCGCTAAAAGTCATATCATTACAACTTGACCTGCTCCCTGTCCTTGTTCTACCTCAGACAACGTCCCTAATATAGAGCTGCCTTAGATGGTGTTGGCCACCAATTTGTCTGCTTCACAGGAAAATAGAAGTTCACATGAAATCATCCACGAACTAAAATGTTGGAGGAAAAGCCCTGTTTGAGGAATTCCAAAAATAGGAATGGATTTTACAATGAGACTCTACCATATCTCCTGTTTCCTTTACTCAGCAGTTTGTCCCAACATACACACTCCACTCATATACGCTCCAGGTCTGCAATTCCTACTGACAACATTAATGAAATTCTTATTATGTGTCTGTATCAAACACCATATTTAACGTCACAAACATGAATTACCCTCACAAGAGATTTGTAAGGCAGGAACTATATTTTGCAATTTAGGTACCTAAGTCTTAGGGAGGTTTCTTGCCTAAGTACATACATCTAGTTAGTGGCAGAGCCAGTCTTTGAACACAGATCTGCTCTTCAAGAACCAGCACTCAACTACCATACCGTACTGCCTCTATTGTGTACATCTAAAACAATTCCCTTTCATTCAAATCTAGCTCAAAAATGATCTTTCGTAACATCCTATTGTAAGTTCCCTGAACATTCCACATTAACACCCTAGCCAACTCATTTCTGTGTAGATGTTAATATGTATTTGCATCATGTGTGCCCTTTATTGAAATAGAAGACTTTTCTTTCCATACTTACCTTCTACTCACTCTCCAAGTATTCTTTTTGGTGCTTTTGTTTTCCCTGAAACAGCTGCCTGGAATTTAACTCCTCCCACCCCTCCCCTTCCTTACCTGGAAAACATCATTATCATTATTATTATTATTTAAGCTTCCCTTAAAAACCTTCCCTTCCCTTAAAATGGTAGTTGAGTGCTGGTTCTTGACCCCCCTGACTCCTCCAGGCAGTATTAGCCCTACATTTTGTCTTCTACCCAAGGACCTCTTATTCTACTCTACCACTGGCTCATTCTGTGTATATTTGAGAGCCTACTATGTGCTGGGCATACACGGGGTGGTACAGATACAGCAACAAATAAGATAAGCATAGCCCCTTACCGGGTTATTGTTTTTGTACATTCTTCTTCTCCCACTAAATTGTAAGCTTCTCAATAGGGGTGATTATCTTATCTTTGTACATCTGCTGCTAACAAAGGCCAGATATATGGGAGGTGTTTCATAAATGTATTAGCCCACTTTTTAATATGTTATGGCTGACATGTTGCCTGACAGGGCATTACAAAGTAATAATTAGGATATATCTGTTTCTATTTATGTATCTATTTCCAAAGTTGAGTCTTACCAATCCTAAAAATATTCCTCCCTTGACTTCTGCTAGCCTTGTAAGGCTATTCCTGTGATAAACGCTGGAATGCACAGGCAGGACCCCCTTTGAGAATGAAGGACTTAGGACCCCAGCTGTTTGAAGTGGGAACGCTGCTGGCAGATGGCCCTCAGCTGTCCTGTCATGCGCCTTTCTCAGGCAGCCCACGATGAATGACGGATTTACGTGGGAGTATAAAGATTCAGCCTTCTCGTCCCAACCAAGGACAGCTCTGAAGGTTGGCTGAGCCTTTGTCCTATGTCACAGCCCAACTTCTCCTTCTGTGCAGATTTGCTTCCTTCCCTTCCCTTACTGGTGATCTCAAGATCACTTCCAAATAAACCCGCTGCCTCCATCTGCGTGGGCTTCCCTTCTTAATTCTTCCTGTAACCCAAAATCAGTGTTTCTGAAAAAGTGATCTGCACTCACTCTACTTCCGGAACACTCATTTATTTTTCCACCCTTTGTGATCCACCCTGGAAATTACTTTCTTGTTAGCTAAGTGATATCGTCATTGGCCATCTATGGTCAGAACCCACAAACTCTTCAGCTCTTGCCACATTCGAAATGTTGTACCACTCCTCTTCCAGCTCCTTCTTTCTTTGGATTCCATCATGCTCTGTTCGCTGGGTAGTTCTCCTGTTTTGTTTTGTTTAAAGATTTATTTGAGAGAGAGAGAGAAGAAAAGAGCATGAGCAGGAGAGGCAGAGGGAGAGGGAGAGAGAACCTCAAGCAAGCTCTGCACAGAGCCTGACACAGGGCTGGATCTCACAACCCTGAGATCACGACCTGAGCCAAAACCAAGAGTCAAACGCTTAACTGACTGCACCAGCCAGGTGCCCCTAGTTCTCCTATTTGGACTGCTCTTCCTCGACTTTCTTCAATTGCTGTTTTTCTTCTCTTTCCTCCTACTCCTTAAATGTAGGCATTCCTTAGGTTCAGTCCTTAGTCCTCTAACTCTACCTAATCTCAGCAACTTCAGTGTAATAGTACCAGGACCCACCCAGCATTAGAGACATTTGTGGGACAGGTTGGAATAATGGAAAGAACAACCTCTTAAGAGTAAAGTAGACCTGGGTTCCAGGTGTAACCAGCTGGGAAACCATGGGTATGTTATTAAATCTTTGTGTTTCATTTCTTTATCTGAACTGGGTATGATACCAACCTCATAAGGATGCTCCCTCTATGTTTTTGTTCCCCAAATGTACCAATGTTCTTTCTTGCCTCCCCATCTTTTCACATGCTGTGCTTCTGTTGGAACATTCTTGGTT